GGTGGGCTGAGCTGGCCACACACACACACAATAAATAAATGTAATAAATAAAAATAAATAAATAATTTAAAAAAAAGAATGAATTAGATTTTTTTTTAGACAGAGTCTCATTATGTACTTAAGACTAGTCTTGAACTCACTATGTGGTGCATGCTGGTCTTGAACTCATGGCTATCCTCCTGCCTCAGCCTCTTGAGTGTTGAGATTATAGGTGCATGCCACCATGCCTGACTCTGAATTAGCTATTTTGATGCAAGACCTTTGTACCCTTTTTTAAGTCATACTGGCATGTGCCTGCTTGTCCTTCAGTGAGTGTAAAACAGTCAGGTTATCAGAGATTAAAAGCTGAGAAATACCTTTAGAAACCACTAAAGTGAAAGTGACTGTAAAATGAAGGAAGTGTTTCTGTAAGAGTTATCTTTCAGGCAGATATGTTGCATGCCTGCCATCCCAGCAATCTATGAGGCTGAGCCAGGAGGATTCCCTGTGAGTTTGAGGACCACCTGGTTACAGTGAGTTCAAGTTTAGTCTGAACTACATGAGACCCTGTCTCAAAAAAAAAAAAAAAAAAAAAGAAAAAAAGACAATTCCAGAACTGGTTCATAAAGTGGTAAGAATAGTGGGATATGTGTATCCAAAGTGAAGGAGAAGGGCCAGGGAGATAGCTCAGTGGAATAAGTGCTTCCCTGGCAAGCACAAGGGTCTGAGTTCAATCCCCAGTTCCGCAAAATGAAGGAGAAGGTACAGCCAAATAGCTCAGTGGATTAAAGCACCTGCAAGTAGGTGCAGGGGCCGGGGTTCAATCCCTTGGCCTGCTGTGCCAGCCCCGCCCCTGGGGCGTGCTGAGATGGCAATTGAGACTGGGCTCAGTGGCGTGCATCTATAATCCCAGCTCTTGGGAGTCTGTAAACAGAAGAATTACTATGAGTCCGATCTAGTAGTGAGACCCTGAAAATCCTGTACACCCTTCCCTAAAATACAAAAACAAACAAACAAACAAAAAAAAAAGTGAAGGAGAGTATTTGAGGGAGATTGATAAAAATGTATCTTTTACTATAATAGCTTATTTATTTATTTATTTATTTACATTTTTGGTACTGGAACTTGAACCTAGGGCCTTATGCTTGCCAGACAGGTGCTGTGCCACTGAGCTCCAGCCCTGCCCTAAGCATAATATTTTATTTTATTTTATTTTATTATTATTTTTTTTTTTTTGCAGAACCGGGGATTGAACTCAGATCCTTGCATTTGCCAGTCAAGCGCTTATCCTATTGAGCCATCTCCCCGGCCCTCATAATATTTTAAAATTTAAATCTTCAATGTATTTTTCGTTATACCTTGTGTTTCACAAAGGAGGCAGAGAAAGATGATGTTAGTACTGTAATTTATCTAAGGTCACGAAGCTACTAAGTGTCAGAGCTGCAGGGATTTGAACCAGGCTGGGTCTGTGTGCTCTGACCTCCACTTTGTGTGGGTCAAGCCCTATTAATCTGGAAGACTATTTCACTGTGCTTCCCTGGCACTGCTAACCTCTGCTGTTTCCCCTAGCCTCCATCCCATCACAACTTACCAGGTGACAAGCTTTCCTGAAACCATTTCATCTCCACATATAGAGTAAACACAAATGGGTACGGGATCAAGACGATGTCTTCATGTTTGAATTTCAGATGAGAAACTCTTTCCCATTTGCTTTTATCTGGGGATGGTGCTAAGGAAGAACTGTTTTAGGAGAGAGGTAGTGCTCCTTTCCCTAACATTCTCTCTAAACTTTTCTTTTTTTTTTTTTTTTACTGTCTTTTTGTTTTTGAGGGCTGCAGGCACAGAGTTCAGTCCAAGATTAGAGCTTCAGTTCTGTAAGGTAAGGGCTCCACTACTGAGTGACCTCCCTAGCCCTTGTTTTAATTTACTTATTTTTGTTTTATTTCTGTGACAAGGTCTCACTCTAATTCAGGCTAATTTTAAACTCACTATGTATTCCATTCTGGCTTTGAACTCGTGATCTTCCTGCTTCTGTAACACAGAATGCCTTCACTTTCTTAGTTTCCCATGTAATAGTTCTTCCTGCTCCAGCTGCTCCTGTTTCTGAGAAACAGCTGGTCATTATGATGCATATTGTATAACCAGTCTCAAACTGACAGGGCATTCTACTTCTACATTTGCTTGCTTGCTTAACCCACATAAGTCCTAGGCCAACAGAGATCAGGGCTTGATATTCCAGGAATGATCCTGATCAGTGCTTGTCGATGTAAATAAATCTGCCTCCAAATACTTGGTGTCCTTTTGGTGTTCCCACTTGCCACAGCACTTCAGTCTCCAAAGTGCTGGGATTAGAGGTGTGTGCCACCATGAGTAGCCCTTATTTTATTATTTTGAGACAGGGCCTCACTATGTAGTCCAGACTGGACTTGAACTCATTTATGTAGCACAGACTGACCTCAAGCTCAAAGTGATCCTCCTGCCTCAGCCTCCTGGGAGCTGGGATTACAGGCATGTGCCACTATACCTGGCTTATTTTATTTTGAGACAGGGTCTCACTAAGTTCCTAGGCTGGGCTCCAACTTATCCTTCTGCCTCAGTCTCCTGAGTATCTGGGATTATAAGCATGGTCATCATGCCTGGCTACTGTCTATGTAGTTTTGCTCCATTTGAATTTCAATGTGAGGTGTACCTCAGTAACTGGGAAAGGATACAGGGAAATACAATGAAGTGTTCAGTGACAAATGGTTGCAGATTGTCCAAGTTTCCCAAGACTGCACGGATAGAATCCTGAAAAAGATAGATTTCATATGACTTCAATAGTGTTGCAATTTAGCCAATCTTTCCATTTATATTTTCACTATATATATATATTCTTAACTCTGTAATTCAAGCTGCCCCCTTGACCTCATCTTGGTGATCATCCTGCCTCAACCTCCTGTGTGCTGGGATTACAGCTGTGCACTACCACACCAAGCTCACATACCTCACATTCTAACCAAACCAAGATTTTGTTGTTCCTTGAATGTGCTTTCTGCTTCTCCACTTCTGCACTTTTGCTCTTCTGCCTGAAATGTACTCTTTACCTATGAGCACCTGTCTACATTTTACCTGTTCTGTAAAGTATGGTTCATGGGGCTGGGGAGATAGCTCAGATAGCTCAGAATAAGTGCTTGCTTGGAAAGCACAAGGTCCTGAGTTCAATCCCCAGTACTGCAAATAAATAAATAAATAAATAAATAAATAAATAAATAAATAAATAGTATGGTTCTATGGCATCTTGTCCAGAAGTTCCTTGACTCCCAAAATATAATTAACTCTGTCTCAAACCTCATAGTAGTTAGCCTGAGATCTTCTCTATATTTGCATAAGTTTTATTTTTCTTGCAGAGAGATTAAGTAGGATATACCTCTGATTTATCTTGACCTCTCTCCTTTGCTATTATAGTGATTATATACAGATATTAAATGAATAAAAAATAATACTAGTATTTACTGACATAGTTATTTTGTTTGTCCTCAAATCAAGCCTTCACTTCTCTCCAATTGTTTTTTTCTTTTATCTTTCTTTTTTCTTTTTCTTTCCTTTTTTTTGCCTTTTTGTGACAGGGTCTTGTCATGCAGTTCAGACTGGCCTTAAGCTCACTTTGTAGCCCAGGCTGGTCTCAAACTTGTGACCATTCTCCTGCCTCAGTCTCCCAAGTGCTGGGATTACAAAGATGTGTCACCACACACAACAGATATATTTATTTATTTTTATTTTTTATTTTTTTTAAATTTTATTTATTTATTTATATGTGTGTGTGTGTGTGTGTGTGTGTGTGTGTGT